TAATGTACAGCATATGGATGCCTTGGTTTCATTTGTGTCAAGCGAGGCCGTGCACGCAGCTCTAGCCCAGTCGCTGGAACACAAAGCAGAGCTCACAAGCACAGCTTTTGAAGCGTACAGTATTGAAGGCACTCCTCCTTGCATGCCTCCGCTCCTTACAGCAGAAGCCCAACTACCATGCACAAAGGCTGCTGATTGCAGTCTGGTTGAACATAGTAAACATTGCTTGGCATGAAAATGACTTGCAGCTTCACTTTCAGCAGAGATTGAGCACTTTCCCAAGAGCTGGAGGAAGCGTCTACATAAAACACAACTGTGAGATGCTCTGAAGATTAATCTCTGATCTTATAGCCCAAACCTTCTACCTCTTTTTGTGTGGATAGGGGAGCACAAGGCCAATGCTGAAGTCTTGGTTGGCCTTATGAAAGACTTTGAGTGGGCGAAGTAACAGCTGTCAGGAGCAGGTTTGCTTGCATGGAGCTGTTTCACCCTCCTTCCACACCCTTCCTGGTGAGGATAATATTGGAAAGAGCAGATGGGGTTTTGCCATTGCAACCTCAGGCTCAACACTGCTGGGCTGGCACCTTCAGCCTGATTTTCTGGTTATAGCATTTCCCTGGCATCCTGCACGCGTTAAAGCAGCTTGAAACCTTCAGCTGGCAGGTTGTGTTAAAAGATTTCAAAAAGGACTTAAACCTTCATTTGTCACTGGGTAGTGCCAACGCTGGGACAGAGATTATGTTGCATCTTAAGCAGCAGGGACAGCAGTACTGTGGGTCCCTTCCGGAACAAAAAGATGTGCTCCAGGTTAGATAAATTATTTACGGAGAGATGGACCAAACCCTATAATTATTTACACTTACTCAATATTCAAATCAGGAAGACATAACATTTTAATACTGACATCTTGATAAGGAATTTTATTTTTTCAATTTTACGTTGGGTTTTGTTGCATCAGTCAGCATTCTACTGTCAGACAAGAAGGGCTGATTAAAGACTTGGGACAAATTATGAACATCTAAGGAAAAAGCAGATATTTTTCAGGAGAGAGTATTTAGTGATGCAACTTGGAAATCTGGCTCTCAGAGAGTCCCCTCCAGCAGAAAGGATTACAGCCATGTACGTCCCACAGTCAGTGTCACCCACAGGCAGGGCACCAAGAGAGAAATTGTAATAACACCAGGTCCTTCTACAAAGCTCTCCGTGCACTGCATCCAACAACTGTCTCCGTGCAAAGAGGATGAAGTAGGCAAAACTTGATTTTGGGTTGTTTCATCTCTGCTCACAGAAGTGGAGAAATGCCAAAGGCGGCCAGTGCCTCGGTCTGGAAGAGCACAGGAGGAAACCAGCAGCAGCCTCGCTCCTTGCAATCTGGATGGCTAACCAAAAATACAGAGGAAAATATCAGGATGAAGAAAACAAATGGAGCTGACACATTGTATAAATAGGTCTTCAAATGTCATGCATGGCTGGAACAAAGATGTTTTGTTCCAAAGCAAGAGACAGCTTGAAATGGCTCAGTAATACACATTGAGAAGTTTGCTTATTTGGAACAGAGCTCTTCTAATGAAAAGGTTAATTGTGTTGCAATGGAAAAGAAAAAGGCGAAGCAGAGGCCAGGCCTGCACTCCTCACCCTGGCAAAATTTCCCACTGGCTTGAAGGGAAGATTTTCTATAGCAAATATCACAGGACTGAACTACTACTACGTTACAATAAATTGTACAGCAGGTATATTCACAGGTCAATAAAAATAGCTAAACAAACCAGATATTCTAGCAGTATTCATCCCAGTGGCTTTCAGACAAGCCACAGCAGCAGCCAGGGAGAGAAACATGGTGCCCAGCTCAGTGTGATGCCACAAAGTTTCCTTGGGCAGATATTGAGCACCAGTACTTGAGGTCAGCATCAACACATCCTCA